ACAAATGTGATTATTAAGTGATATTTCTTCCATCTCTTGTGCAACTGTGCACTTTTTGGATACTGAAACAATAGTAAGTATTTTTTTTATTGTTTAACGTTAAATATCTTTTCAGTTATTGATTATAAACACCTAAAAGTAAGTAATTTTAAAAAGACAATTTAATAATCTTTTAAATGCAAAAATAATAAATAGGGTGTTCTATTTAATTTTTTTAAGTTATTAAACTTTTAACAATCGTCATTTTTTAACTTTGCAAATGCAACACAATAAAAAAATGTTACAACCTTATAGCTTGTACCTTCTTCTTTGCGGTAGTAAAAAAAATATTTTTAGATGTCTTAGTTTTTGTGTAATAAATTTTTTAAAAGTACATGTTTTTGTCAAAAAAACCGTTTTATTTTTAAGACTAAGCAAAATCGACTAATAAAAGTTTAGCTTAAGAACATTGTCTTAAAAATCTACATCCAAAAACGCTAAGAAACAAATGGTGTTTCATTAAAAAAAACACAAATTTGTATTATTACTTATTTTTGAGACACGCTAAAATAATTTTAGGTGATGGACTAGATTAGTAGGTATCTATCAATGTCCTTCATATTTTTTTTAAATTTTACCATTTAAAGTCACTAATGGACTTTTTCAACTCGCTGGGACACCTGTGTGCTGGTATCTTTCTTTTTTATCAAGTAATATTTTCTTTTATTTTTTTTATTGTTTTTGTGGTGTTTGGGTGTTATTTCGTAAAAAATGTTAAATATCATGTTAAAATTTTTGAATTCTTTTTTTTAAGAAGTTTAGAAGCCACAATTTATAAAAACATCAATTTATTTCTAAAAAAATACAAAACGAGCTTTAGTTTGAATTATATTATCGTTAAAGGATTAACAATTGTGGTTAAACGATTAGATTTTGTGGAAATTCAAACAAGACTCTTTTCCATCCAAATTGCAAAGCAAACATTCGTCACTAAAATTTGATAAGCGTTAAAATTTGACTGTTAAATCACGATTTGCTTAACAGGTGCTGGTGGTTATTCGCCCCCCTTTTGAACATAAACATAGCCATTCATTGGCAACCCTCCGAGTCGGTGGTGGTGCAGTTTGACTCGGGCCACTACAAAATATATAACATCTGAAGTACGAGTTGTTGGCAAGTACCCCTCCGACACATAAATGTCAGAGACGGCCTAGCCCCACTATACAAATTTCACACAAAGTCCTAGTTATATCCACTTAGTGCAACACACCCCAATCCGGGCCTGTTTCTACCCTCCACCAAATTCGTTAGGGTTGTTCTGGTCGACTAATCAAGGCAGCTGCAGCTCACGCGTTCATATTTCTGATTTAGTCTGCAGGTTCAGCATAGAAGGCCATGAAATCAGATTTCCGCCCTTTACCAGAAATACACAAATTCTAACTCAATTTATTTCGAATTTGAGTTCAAGACGTTCAACTGTTGCGTTACGTTAAGTGGCGTCGTTTTGTTACGCAACGGTTGAACATTGTGAACGAAAATTGACAGATGTGGCTGAAATTTAGTAAAAAACGCTAAAAAACGTTGATAATGGGGCAGTTGCTGGTCCAACACTTGGGTATAATAGTGTGTCATCGGCTCATGAGTCGGAATAATCCGGTTTTGCATGGCACAGGTAACTTGATCGTCCCCTAATCACGAGTTAAAAAATTTCTATCAAATTCGATATTTGACCAACATTTTGGCAGATGGCCATAAAATCGAATACATAGGAAATTTAATTATTCAAAGGGAGCAAATAATTGCTAGCGGGTGTGTAGGGGAGCTTTGTGCTGCTCTCCTCGATCAAAACTAGGCTTGGTGGTAATTCGAGATGGCGAGTTTGCTTCAATCAAACATCTCTTGACTCAGAACCCCATGAATAAATAATAAAACAAATTTGAAATGAAATTGAAAAAATAAGACAGAGTTGTGTTATTGGTATGGAGCAGTAGTTTTGAGGTTCTAATCCGTGATAAGCTTAAGCCGGATCAAGGAGGGTGAATTTATTAAGGCCCTCTTTCGATAACATTAAAGCATCGCTAAATGGAACATGGCTATTTAGGCAGTATTTGTGTAGAATAATGGATTGGCGGGGCAATAAAATATTATGTGTTGGTAGAAAAAATTGTCACGGATGTTTAAGTTGTGGGTTTCGATGGATCACTCACGATGGCACGTGGATGGCGAGCTTACGACACGTGTGGCCAATTATAAATCTCAAACGTACACTTAAAACGACACAAAATATTAAAATAAAGCAAAAAATTGATATATGTCAAAAAACTGTGCAATAATCTTCACTCAGAAAGGTTTTATCACAGAAAATATGGGACCAAACGGTTTTTTTAAATTTTTTTGTTTTTGAGTTTTATAAAAATTTTATTTTTTTGAAATGGCGACTCACTATAAAACCTTTTTTACAAAAGCTATGATTTAAGGATTACAATGATCTACATTTTATACAATTTAATTGAAAAAAAATTTGTCATTTTGAGTGTGTAATTCAAAACAAAACTTACTTTTTTAACACTTTTTCAATGCTTCTGAATGCAATTTTTTATCAAAAAATATGAGAATAGTGCTTGTTTTACAAAATACATATTATTTTAGAGTTAAATGTTTTGAATT